TTTCCCCACCCATTTCCTATTTACGGCCCACCACCACTGTCACCGACTAGACATGGCGCTATGCGCAGATGTCTCCTATATTTACTGCATATGCTCTTTACGGAACCTAAACATAGCATATACAGTAAATCTAATATCCCCAAGTCCTGGCGATAGACTGGAACCTCTAGCGACGTCCTGTACTTCGAAGACTTTTCATCGCGAAAGGCTTTGGAATACGGGACGTCATACTGACGTGGACTTGCTGAAATTCCGCCATGCAATTCAAACATGAAATTTCGAACTTAATTTCCCCCTCTTTTTAGTAAGCCTATATAACGATACTACTTACAATAGCATCGGGAAAGAATGATTAATCTGTATAAAGTAATCTACCGTTCCACTTTAGTGCCCAGTGGAGAGCTGGACTCTACACTTTAGTTCGGTTCGGTCTTAAGTGACTTGCCATGGAAAGGTTTTTATTATCTCGGCTATTCCATTTTCATGAATTCGTCAGTGAGAAAATAAGTGGTTTCCCAGACAACAGAAGTGAACAAATAAAACAATATATATACCAAGCTGAAAAAAAGAGCTTGACAACAGACAGTTCATTTTCAGGTGTTTACATTTCAATAGAACCTTCACACTCATGCATTTGTATCCAAGTTTTACCCAATGTATGCAGATTAACACATCACTTTGTATACACGTACCTGTTCACTTTGTATACACGTGCCTTTGTATACACGTACCTTTGTATCATCACTTTGTATACACGTACCTTTGTATCTGTTCATCATAAGTGCTTATCAGTCTAGTGCGCGCTGATAAGTCTTGTGCGCAAGTGTTCACTTTTTGCTGAAGGAGCTTTTCAGGCCATGGTCCAAGCAATTTATGTAATGCGACGAGCTGCCTGTTGAAAGTTGCTACATTATACAGTTACAAAGACGTTTACAATTACAATTACAGTGACAAAAACATTTACAATTACAAAAATGTTTTTTATGGTTGAGGTCGGGTAAGTTCAAGCGCGTCGTTTTATTAACTCTCGGTAGACCTTACGTTGCTCTCTCATAGACCTTACGTTGCTTCTCTCGGTAAACCTTACGTTGTGATACCAAGTCTTATCAGATATGTTTACACGGACGCCTGTAGGCGCAACAAAAATGAATGACACGTCAGAGAGTGCAAATAACCGTAAGAGAGTGTCAACAGTCTAACGTAAACACAGTTTGTCATATAATTATAACAGAAATGTCAAAACAGTCGAATACACGCGAACATACAGAGAGAGAGAAAGAGGCAACGAGAAAGTCGAGGACCCTTTTTTGTATTACGAACTGAGGCCAAAAAGGCTCGAACTATGCGAAGGTTAAGGAAGGAAGATCTTCAGGCAGCCTTGTATGAGTGTTCCACATTAACAATGAACATGCGAGTGATTAGACTTCAAGAGAATACTTTACGAATTATATTACCATGACTGGACTAAAATGACTAAAATAAAGTTGAAGTTACCATTCAATTATAGCTATTAGTAAATATGTTCATGAAATGTACGCAGACTACCTTGATATTCTTCGCAGTGACCTTTTACACACAGCCTTTCAAGGTTTATTTGTTCGCAATGATTCTATAGCTTCCTCCCAAAAGTTATAAAGTTCACTCTCGGATAAGTCGTTTCATGCTCATCCACTGAATTATTCTTCAAACACACAGCTAATATTCTGATCTGTGACTTACATAGTTTTTTTGTCTCTGTGTCATCTGGTGCGTTTAATTCTATTATCAGCATATATGTCTCTTGGTGCGTTTTTCCCCTTCCGTGCTTTGTGCCTGAGTGAGTCTTGGTCAGCTGACGTATGTGTGAGTTTGCTCAACTATGCTTGCGATATATGTCTGGGCTGACAGTATCTGCAAATAAAACTGCAGAACAAAAATAAAACAAACCAGGTACTGCTCGTATAACTTCGATAAATTCAAGGCAGCCCCGCCTCCAGACATTGAACATCAAGAAAGAGTGATGAAGTGATGTGTTTGAAAAAATAATCATTCAATTTTGCTTGATTTTTGGAACTGAAATACTTAATTGATCCCAAATTGTTTTTCAGAAACATCGAGTTACATTTGTGCTTCGCTCTCTGCGTTGTGTGGTTTTTCGTCGTCACACAATTGGAAAGTGTCAACTTGCGTTGTACAGTTGATGACACTGCTGAAGCAAGATGTGTACTAGAAACATGACAGCTGTGCAGTTGTCAAATTCCATCGGTATGCTGCCACGCAAGACCGAGAGTCACACTAGACTTGGCGATAACTATTTATCAAATATGGTCATGAATAACATCCTGACCCACCATTACCAAAAGCTGTGACACAGTAAAACACGGCTGACGTAAGAAACAGGATATCATCGTCTTCTGTTGTACTGTACTTTTTGTAGGTAGTTTCATAGGCGCCAACTAAGATGTGTAAGTCATAGTCATTTATATCAAATAAGAAACTATAGATACATGCATATAACTTTAATAAAAGGTCCGGAGAGTTTGTGGGGCGAGCAGAAGGTCCCGTCTGGGTGACAGCCCGAAGTTTTTGAGTATTGGTGGTTTTCTGGGCCCTCTGAACAGCCCAAATTTGATCTTCAAGGGCAGAGATGTGCAGCAGTTTCTCAAAACCAGTTTTAATGGTTGTAATAGTTTTGATACCTGACTTCAGCAGTTTATTTGAAATGAGGTGGCACGAACACGACACTAGAATTCATCTTCACAAACAAACAAACAAACGAACGAACAAGCTTTCGTGCCTGAAACATCTGAGCTTGGAATACGCGCATGAAATTGGTAGAAAAGCGCGATGGCCTAGATCTTTAAACAAAAGATTCGTACATTTCAAATCAATTGACAACGACATGCTTTCAGCCAAGTACTAGTACTCAAGTACAAGAACCATTAAGTTATGAGTACCATGTATGTCCCTACGGCGTTCACTACTGGTAGTACACAGTCCTTCGCATAGCACAGATGGCTATGAATTGCTTCCGGTTTTGAACACATTCCTCATGGTGAAGTTCGATGATACACTGGTTTACCTGAGCGATATTTCTTCTGAAACAGGAAGCCAAGTTCAGCTATTCTACCCAATTCTGAAAGTTCATTATCTCCTGCTCCGGAGTTCAAGTTCAACATTTCAAGATTCACACACCCTGTTAGACTCTACGAAGCTGGTGCATATTTTTTTCGTGGTGAGGATGGTGAAGTTATGGCTGGTAGACACTACTATCCACTCCACTTACGTTCGCGGGTCCTTAGCTTGGTTAATAATATTTAATACGTGCAAGCTCACTGTTACAGAAGCGTACCCTGACTCTAAGTCTGTAAAGTACAAATGCTTCCATAAGTCACACACTATAGTGGTGCTCCATCCAGCAAGCAGGCTCCTAAGAACTCCTCCGGAAACGATGACGGAAAACGCATGCACAGTTCCAATCTATGAGACCAAAACCCGGGCTATAAGCAGACCACGGAGGATACAGAAAGACTAAGCCTTCTCCTCTCTTTCTGAATGCTCTGGTCTGGACCAGCAACAAACTCACAGGCATAAAGTCATACTACAAAAGTTTGAATTTCACAACGGCTGATTTCATTTCATCACAACGGGTGATTTCAACACAACGGAATTTCACAACATCACAACAGCTGGGGGACGCTGACGCAAGATGCGCTGATTTTAACCGGGGTGTTTGTCTTCACCGGTGCGAGAGGTTCGCGTAGATGTCTCAGGATGTGCGCCTATAGGTTACGGCAAGGTCACAAACCCGCACGTAGTCCTTGTCCGCCAACACTACTATATAGACGACGAAGGCGACAGATGTGCGCGGTCATTGCCGCACGTAGCAGCGCACGGGGCAGCCTATGGGCCACACCGCTCCTAACATCAGATCAGTCAGCAGCCGAAATCCCAATTCAGCAAAATTGTTTTCTGACCAATCAGTTGTCCTCGCAACACTGACGCATCCTGACTATCGAACAGAAACATGTGACCCTGGACGGTTTCTGGTTCTTAGTGAGTCCCACAGCAGCATTCCAACAGACAGCTTCCACCATTTGTTTCACCAGATTGGATATTCATAGTTTTGCATTTACTCTCCACCAGTCTCTTAAGCTTGACGTAACTTCCTGCCTACAGGGGTACTTATTAGCAGTCTTAAGGTCACTTCTGGTTATTGATGGCGAAGGACGATGACGTTTTCTTAAGTATTCTGACCACTTCCTTCTAACGGGCTACGCCTATAATTGGTTTCGTCGCATTTTCATTTACTTCAAATTTTTGTCCTACGCATGGTGACGTCCCTTTTTTTCACATAGTGTGCGTGTATGTATATTGGCAATCTTAAAACCCACTTTCAGTTTGGGATGGACGGTACTTGATTCGTAGCGAGCCGCACTGCAGCATTCCATGCAATAGACAACGTCCATCATTTATTTCACCAGATTGAGTATGAGCAGCGTTGCATTTACTTCACATTTCTATTTCACATTCCCTGACGACACTTGCGTCCTTCTCGTGTAACGGTGCATATTATAGATCTAAAGATCACTTCTGTTTGCAACGTACGCTGCTCACTTCATTTCCGTTTAACAAGTCTAGTTTCCACGTCGGTTGTTGAGCCGTCTACTTGAAGCAAGTTGAATTCGGCGAAAAGCTGTAGCGGACCACATCATACTTCCTTACCTAGAGCGGGTGAACTGAGGAGGTCCAGGAACTCATCGTCTTCTTAAGAATTATGGTTATCACGGCGTGAATTCACACTGACGAACGAAAAATCGGACGACACGTCCTTTGTCGGTGTCCTTTTGCGCTGTCCACAATAAACGTAACCCAACTCATCCACCTTTCCGTCGTTATTCCGAAGAAACCCACCAGTTTCACTTAACGGACATCTCAATGTCTCGATCGGCACGGGAACATCAAGGTCCGCATACCGCGTTAGGTGGTATCGCCCCGGCACACTGTGAACCTATCCGTGGTCAAGATGCCTGTGTCGGCGCCGCGTACACCGGCAACACGACGGGGTACTTGCTGAACTGCATGGGTTCCAGGCCCGCCATCGGACCATCTGGGTCGACGGGCGGCGCAGAGTGGATGACTCCGCTTCGGTGCGCTACGTTCACCGACACGGAGCTGACGGACGTCCCGTTCAGAAAGACCCCGGACGCCGCCAGAGGGTCCAGGGCGTGGATTGCCATGAGGGCAGCCCGGTAGCGCCAGCTCTCCATGGCGGCCCAGAGGACGCCGCCGCTGAAGACCACTATGCCCAGAGGGATGAGGACGAACCCGAGGAGTCGGAGACCCGGAGTGGCCGAGTTGAAGCCCACGAGGATGAAGAGGATGCCCGACAGTTTGACGAAGAAGCCGAGGAAGATGACGCTGCCGAAACGCCACGGCGACGGGCCGACGTAGCGGGTGGTCTCTGCGTCGACGCCGTCCGAGCACTGGCGGTCTTGACAGGATCTCCTGGACAGCATCCCCGCAGGCTGCTGAGTAATGCAAAAGAACATTTCGAAAATGTACAGACATGAACATCATGATTCCCGTGAACATGCGTATATAATCTACCAAATCTTAACCGCTAATATAGCTTTGTAGATAATTTATAACAATTCCGAAGTTGACGTGCGTGATCCAGCGCTGTACGGCGCACCTCGCGATATTGACGTAATTCAAAGGGCACGTGAAAATGACCTCCAACTTGCGAGGCGTCACCACTGCGGTGGAGGTCTGAGCTAGTACTCTGAAAATGACGACGTCACAGTCGCCATTCTCCTTTGGCTGCGCTTGAACCAGTGGGCTACTATTCAGTGGCTGCTCACGAGTCCATGGCGAACGTCTGGAAAATCGGAAGATCAAGAAAGCCGTTGCCCTTGGATGACGATGATAAAGATGATGGTGACAGTGACGGAAACGACATCGTGCAGCACATGCGGCAGCAAAACAACCGGGGTAAACTGGTGCGTCGCGGTTCAATGCGCTGTTTATCGAGCTCGATCGGGCTAGTTGCATCCGGCGGCTTTTTCGTACTCGGACCTCTCCAAAATTGAAATAGACCTTGGCCTTCATAAAATAGGCTGTAGCTAATTATCTGTGATTAGCGAGAACTAGCGATGTGCTGGGTTATGACTAATTGGCACCCAGCAACATATTGTGATAACAAAACACTATAAGAAAAAAATTTGATCATTACGTCTTACTTCCTTAAATGAATGAACGATTGGGAAGGCAAGACCCGTTTTCCTTTGCTAGACATAACCGTAATCAGAACCAATGAGAATCAAGGTAGAGTTTCGGACGCATTATTTGAAGGTTGCAGGTTTGGTCCCTGGAGGCGGCAAGTTGTCTTTTCGCCTTTGCTAGCGATCCTTTGTCCTCTACTTTCTTTGACTTGATCACCTGCTGATTGGTTCTCACTAGGGCCCTGAACCTAGCAATCCTAGTAATCAAGCAAATAGTATTCGTGTGAACAACATACGGCTTCAAATTTTAAATGATGTTACCTATGGTTGTTTCTGAATGACTCTTGCTTGGAATGGCAGAGCGCGTGGCTATAGACGTTGGCGTCATCCGTAGCTGCTATTTCGCTGGTTATAGCACGAGAACAGCATGACGACACAGAGACAAGAAGGACACGAGCCGTTGTTCTATTCTCGCGCTATAACTATCGCCATGTCATACCAACTAGCCCAAGCTGCCACACTGCTATTTCGCGTTAGCGACATGCTTGAATTCACTCTTAAAATAAGCTTATGGACCTAGCATGCACTGTAAACCAATTCACGTCCTGAAGGGTACTTTGCGTGTCAATAACTAACACCCTGCAATAAGGGTGTCACTTATAGACACACAAAGCACCTTTAAGGGTGTAAACTTGTTTACAGTGTGCGGTATGACTGTACATTTGGTACCATGATGGTGTTGGTCTCTGTATAAAAGTGAACAAAAAAAGAAAGGAAAAACTGGAAGAGGTGCAGCATGTATGAAAAAGGGTGTCTCAGCTCCACCAAAGTGAAACCTGGAAAGTGGCGAATAATGATGCACACTTCTTTGATGACTAACCGGGTGTGGCAAGCCTGAAACCGGGCGTATAGGAAAGAGTCTTTCCGCTTCCCTAACGTCGCGGAAAACTGCGTTGGGATGCAAAGCACCGTTGAAGGTGCAAACTGGTTTAGAGTGTGGGGTGTGACTGTATACGTTTAGTACCATTACGGTGTTGTTCTATATACAGTGCAACTTCTTGTTTGTTACATGTTCGGTTTCAGTTCTATATGGTACGTAGGAAAGGGTGTTTCAACTCGACTAACGTCGTAGAGTGTTTGTTGGGCTATACCTGTTACCGTCTTCATTTATATTCAACCGGTGGCGGGTAGTGAAATTTAAGCATCTTCTGTGGAACGTACCCGTTTTTGTGATGGACCATTGGCCACACGACACACTGTGACGACGTTAGACGCCGACAAGCCGAGGCACCAAGTTGCTTGGCTCCCAAAAGGTGGCCGAAGCTGCCCATCGGCCGCTTATGGCAAGTGCCATTCAAGCTGTAGAGTTCCAGTTATAGGTGCACTTCTTATAGTGCTGTAAAAACTCACGGCACCTTCGTACAACGTTGAGGAAAGCGTGGGTTTTGAAAGCGTGGGATCTCACGGCCCACTCGTTGAATTACTTTGACCTTTTCTGTCGATTGCCTTGTCCCGCCTCCCACCCATTCGCTGACGCTTTCTGCATACTGCGTCCGGAATCGACTAATCTTCGACGAACTAGTGGTGTGACGGCCGTCACTGATGACGTCGTACATGCCATTTCATACTTTGCGACCTTTTTGAAGGGCAGAGTGTATATCGGGTCTGCCCTTCAAGTCGAATGCGATTTTGGCAGGCCAATTTTTTATCGATGCTCTTACAAGGTGGTGATAAATTATTATTATTATTATTATTATTATTATTATTATTATTATTATTATTATTATTATTATTATTATTATTATTATTATTATTATTATTATTATTGATCATTCGTATTCGCTCCGATGACACCAGTTTTTCCGACTCATGTTACACGAGCTCTGTAGCTTACGATGTTGGACTAGTTAGCACATAGTTCAACAATGGATGCGTAGTAGATGTAAGTAAACAATTGATTTCTATGTGTGGTTTAACGTCCCAAAACCACCATGTGATTATGAGAGACGCCGTAGTGGAGGGCTCCGGAAATTTCGACGAGCCGGGCTTCTTTAACGTGCACCCAAATTTGAGCACACGGTCCTACAGCATTTCCGCCTGCACCATAAATGCAGCCGCCGCAGCTGGGATTTGATCCCGCGACCTGCGGGTCAGCAGCCGAGTACCTTAGCCACTAGACCACCGCGGCGGGGCGACATAAGTACACAAAACAAGAACGGAGAGAAAGTAGAAAGAACACTCAATCCCGCCTTTTTTCTACTCGCTTATTTTATATTCAGACACGCTTGTAATTAGATTCAAGTGCACACATTCTTACGTGAGGTCGTCACACAGACCAAAAGAGTGGAACAACCCCGAATTTAGCACGAACATTGGAACTAGCCTAGTTGCTGGAACTTCCACGAACTACAACCGGATGGCACGCCTCAAAAGCCGTTTAAGGTCACGAAAAAAAGACGCCAAGTACACGTAAAAGCCGCCAACATTACTGAAATAACAATCGCGACAGTTAGCAATTGAACCACCACGGTGCGCTGGTACATGGTTATGTTGTGGCTCGACTGCTAACTCGAAGGTGGCGGGATCGAATCCCGTCCTGCGGTGGCCGCATTTTCGATGGGGGCGAAAGTGCCAAAGGTCTGAGTACTTAGATTTAGGTGCGAAGCCCTGTACCACGGCGTCTTTTATAATCATGCCGTGGTTTCGGGACATTAAACCCCAAAAAATATTACGAGGTGGCTAGTCCAGGCAAAAATATTTTTTCTGTCAGCTTTCAAGAAGACAATTAAGCCACTTGTCTAATGTTGGCTCTAGCTAGGTATGCCCTGTGCTTGCAAATTTTTCATACCTTTTTTATTCTAGCGTGCACATTTAAGCTTAAACTGTACAGAGACAATACGTATGACGACTAAAATGTCGCGTTTTACAACCTCAGATAACTGTATTAATCGCGCCAAAGCAATGAAATGTTTTTAAATAAAAGTTCCTTTGCATTCCTGAAGTGGTTCCTGATTGATTGATATGTGGGGTTTAACGTCCCAAAACCACTATATGATTATGAGAGACGCCGTAGTGGAGGGCTCCGGAAATTTAGACCACCTGGGGTTCTTTAACGTGCACCCAAATCTGACCTGAAGCGGTTCCAGGCTTTCACATAAATGGTGACGCTTTGCATTACTCGAGGATACCTCGGATTTACGTGTTGTTTTTTTTACACTAGCGTTAAATACTGAAGCTTAATCAAATAAGTAGTTGTAACGTTAATCGACACTGACCTCGTTTGACGGCGTCGACGCTTGGGCGTGACCGGGACCTCCTCCAGTGACGCCGAGGACCACAAACATCAGAGGACAACCTCAGACGCGTCTTCGAGGCGACACCTGTTCATCGCGGCGGAGGCCATTTGCCGTCCGTTCCCGCGCTCACGCGGACTCACCGCATGGGGGCGCAACAGGCGAACGTATATGCCTCTCCGGGTCTACTCTTTGCTATACGCCTCGCGTTTGCCTAACCTTGCCTTTACTTTTTTTATCTGCGTTGATCGTGTGTGTTTGTAAGTGCGTGCCCCAGTTTTTTTTTACGCTTTTGTCGATCGGCGCCGTTTCATTTCTGCTGTAGCCACGCCGTTTATATATAGCTCGCAGTCTCGACCAGTTGTTGCTATGTTGCCGATCGAAGAACTTCGCGTGAGACCTGGCTCTCTGGGGGCGCGCTGTGTGTTCTTCGAGCGTTGGTCGAAAGGGAAAGAAGGGGAGAAAGCGAGAAAGGAAAGAAGAAAGGAGGGAGGGAAAGAAAGAACGAAAGAATGAAGGAAGGACAGAAAGAAAGAAAGCGAGGTGACAAAGTATGCAAACAAGAGAGAAAAAAACACGAGGAAGAAGAAAGAGGGAAAGTGAGGCGAGCTGGCAAGAAAGACAGAAAGAAAAGAGCAAAAAGAAAGAAATGGTGAAGCAAAGAATGAAGACAGAACGAAAGGAAGAAAGAAAGAAAGGAAGTGAGAGGGAAAGACAGACAGAGTCGATACAGCGTGTCGTTACGAGCTGTTCTTTCCTTTTCCAGTTGTTTGTCTGTTTATTCTCGCTTAGTTGTGTTTATTCTCCAGCTTATTTCCTGTTTCTTGAGTGCCTTTCATAGTAACACGCACCAATCGAACGGGACGGAGAAAGCGGGGGGACAAATAGAGACGCAAACGAGTTGTGACGTGTACGTACACATGTAGGCTCAGTTTTTGAAGGTTGCGCCCTACATAACTCGTCTTATCGCTACAACTACCTAACAAGCTTCGGTTCGATTCG